GTGCTTTGAATGTGGTCGCCATCGTCTCTTTCGAACAGCCCCAGGATGTGCCCACGAGAGCCTTGAGGACCTTGGTGCATCGGCTCACTTTGCAGACGCGTCTCCGTCCGCGTTCCCACCCGCGCCCCCGGCGGCCAAGGTCTGCTACACCCATCTCCCTACGTTGGATCGTTAACGTCGTCGCCGACAATGGTTACAATTATTATTATAGTTGACACCAGATTCAGTTTTAAAATTTATTATGGTTTTCGATCACCCCATTACATAATATTGAGAATGGAATGTTGGAAAGGCTCAGAAGATGCTTCCCTCAGAGACCTTGATCCTCCAATAGCGATGTTGACCCACGTGTAGATAGCGGCGCATTTTTGGCGAGTTGTGCATAATAGACCGCGAATTTCGCTGCAGTATGCTTATCTTTTCCGTTATTCAACACTCATCCCCAGTCGGTTTTGCTTTAGTTATTGCATACACCTGTACGATTACTCAGTTATCAGCAAAGACTGGATGATATCCGAAGATTCGAAAACCATCTAGTAACAGATGAGCGATTCGGCATTGTTGGCTCGGTGACATGCACCAATTTCCTCTGCAGCCATATGGATCGGATCGCAACGTTAACTTGCCACCATTGCGGGTCCGCGATAAGGAGCGCCAACCGTACGACGTCTTGGCAATCGACGGAACCCCATACTTATCAACAACAGAGACCCGGCTCTGACACCCCGCACGTTAAAAGCCCACCGATGCAGTTCAGACGAATTGAATAGTCGCCGAAGTCACCAATCCGTCTCCTTTTTTTTCCAGAAATGAAAGAGCACGCACATTTTCACCTCCCAACGGACTGCTAATGATGCAATTTCAAGTGAAAAAGTTTCCGGATACATGATTGAATATTCTCAGAGACGACAGGAATGGCAGCCACATCGCAATGCGAATGTAATCTTTTTTCTGACTTCGTGAACAATCTCATGTTCTAAGAGCCACACAGCGCGGTCCTTGTAATTTCCGTCGAAATTGAACGGCCGCTCGACTATATAAAGTAAGATCCATCCCACTTAATACTATTTCAGAAAGTAGGGTGTTTGTGTCGCCTGTGTCCGCAACCAACCCGCTAAATTTCTCCTGCAACGCCGGTGGGAGGTTGATATTGCTCACCTGACAGTTCAATGAAAATAGGACAGTGCTAACGA